ACCTCTCATCTCACTCTACTCCCCTCCACACACTCTCCTACCTCTCATCTCACTCTACTCCCCTCCACACACTCTCCTACCCCTCCCATCTCACTCTACTCCCCTCCACGCACTCTCCTACCTCTCATCTCACTCTACTCCCCTCCACACACTCTCCTACCCCTCCCATCTCACTCCACTCCCCTCCACGCACTCTCCTACCTCTCCCCTCCCATCTCACTCTACTCCCCTCCACGCACTCTCCTCCCTCTCCCATCTCACTCTACTCCCCTCCACGCACTCTCCTACCTCTCCCATCTCACTCCACTCCCTCCACGCACTCTCCTACCTCTCCCGTCACATCTCACTCCACTCCCCTCCACGCACTCTCCTCCCTCTCCCATCTCACTCCACTCCCCTCCACGCACTCTCCTACCTCTCATCTCACTCTACTCCCCTCCACGCACTCTCCTACCTCTCCCATCTCACTCCACTCCCCTCCACACACTCTCCTCACTCTCCCATCTCACTCTACTCCCCTCCACGCACTCTCCTACCTCTCCCATCTCACTCTACTCCCCTCCACGCACTCTCCTACCTCTCCCATCTCACTCTACTCCCCTCCACGCACTCTCCTACCTCTCCCATCTCACTCTACTCCCCTCCACGCACTCTCCTACCTCTCCCTCTCATCTCATTCTACTCCCCTCCACGCACTCTCCTACCTCTCCCATCTCACTCTACTCCCCTCCACGCACTCTCCTACCTCTCCCATCTCACTCTACTCCCCTCCACGCACTCTCCTACCTCTCCCCTCTCATCTCACTCTACTCCCCTCCACGCACTCTCCTACCTCTCCCATCTCACTCTACTCCCCTCCACGCACTCTCCTACCTCTCCCTCTCATCTCACTCTACTCCCCTCCACACACTCTCCTACCTCTCCCATCTCACTCTACTTACCCTCCAGGCAACCGCCGACTGCAGCAACCTGTCGAATCCCGCAGTCAACCTTTGCTTGGTGGGGGGGGGTCACTCATCCTCCTCCGCTGCTCCCCAGCAGTCTGTAACTCCCTTACCCCAGTCAGCCGTGCTATCGACTCCCTCCCTGTCCCTGTTTAAGTCCAAGAACTTACTTCATCTTCCACATATGAGTATTGCCGAACAGTGGTGGCTATGCACGTGGCCTGTAATCGCCCAGCAGTGTGGAGGCATTTAGGGTTGATGGATCGCACAAATATTGTGAAACTCCCTTTTCGTGGTCGTAGAGGTGCTTTACCCTGGCTCTCCAGGAGAATGCAGTACAGCAAATGGACAAATCGCCACCTGTTGCCACCTGTACGGGGATATAGCGTTGCCCCCTCACGCGCTTGGGTTTTCTCCGGGTGCTCCGGTTTCCTCCCACTTGCATGGCTGAAAACATCAATAAGCCAATACAGGAGCCGACTGAGAAAGAGTCCTACGATTCAGCGTGGTTCTCTTGGATAAATAAATAAACATTGCTTTTACCTCTCTGCAAAAACACATGCCCACTTTACGTACATCTTCTTGAAATACGGGCGCATTTAGACGTTACATTAAAAAAAATCGCATTGCATTACTGTACAATTGGTATAGATAGTGATTGTAGCAGTGTCTCAATAGTCACGCACACAGCTGAAACTGTAGACAGACGTACGGCAAAAACACAAAGACTCCCCGTGTAGTCTTCACATACTTTTGGGGCAAGTGCTGTTAGCGAGCGGCAACTATGAAGGCCGGCGCGGCACACGAGAGGGGGTGGGTGGCCAGCACCACGCTCGGCCGCCTTTGTCTCCCGAGGAGGCGATGCTTACAACGCCGTACTAGGTGCTCATTTTAGGCCGAGTCGACCTAGGGGGGGGGGAGGGCCCAGGACCGGTTCAGAAAGTCGTCACCGGTGTTGGTGGTTGCCGTGCGCGGTAAATCAAATTCGGCTCGCCGGGTCCTTGGCGCAGCGCGCTCACCGCTGCGCCACCGCTCCCCGCTAAAACACAGACACACACGGACAATGCAAAACAAATACTCCATAACACCCCCTACCCCCCATCGGCCTTTTTCACGAGAGACGGATCACCTCCACCTGCGTTCACGCACCTGTGCGCATTCACACTGACAATGACGACAGGTTTTCTTCGAGAAAAACAAAATCACAGGCACATAACAGAGAGCGAGAGAGACACCGTGCACGTAGAGACACGGAGCTGCCTGTGCCGCGCGCACCGTTTCGGTGTCACGCGTGGCCTACGCGTTGCGCGAGGGGACTTGGAGAGTGAACAACACGTGGACAACGCGCGCGTGTGCGCACGATCACACGAAACCGAGCGTGCGCGAACTGGCGCGCACGTGAACACGCGCGGACACGTGAACACGCGCAGACACGCGCGAACACGCGCGCACACACGAACACTTGGACACTCGAAAAACGTCGACACACGCGAGCACGCGAGCAACGTGGACACGCTTCGCAGCTGACGGTGACACTCGCGTGCTGTGACAAACGAGCCGAATGGAGATCGGGCGAGACACGGGGTCAAGGGCCGCACGCTAACGTGTGTTGTGGGGGGTGGGGGGGGTTACATTGCGAATATATATTTATAATCTTGATTTGAAGCTTTCGTGACTGCAGGAATCCATACTCTTTGGATCTTTCGGTAAAGTAACGTAGATATAAAATAGAATAAATCACGATGTTACGGGCGCAACACAAGCGTCCATCATCTGGTGGGAACGCATGATGACGGACGCTTGTGTTGCGCCCGAAACATCGTGATTTATTTTATTTTATACCTACGTGACTTTACCGAAAGAACCAAAGAGTATATATTTATAAGTCAATATAAAAGAGAGGGTCGCAGCAGAACCACACCCCCGATGAGCACGGTTGCCTACGTACGGTGCGGAAGAAGTTCAACGTGGATTACACGGTGGCGAGATGTCGACTTCCTCGCCAGGAGGTTGTGGGTTCGAGCCCAACCCTGACGCCTGTATATTTGGAGTCTGCGTGTTCTCTCCGTGGTGGCGTGGATTGTTCTCCGGGTCCTTAGGTATTTCCCTCCACGTTTAGAAACGTGCATTTACAGTATTTGACTGCTATAAATTACCGCATGATCAGCCACTTCGCCGAGCTATCATCTGCGATAGCCACGTCGCTTTTGAAAAAGAGCTAGTGAGCTCAGTGGCGCCTTACCTGGTTCGTTGAAACAAAAAAAAATCGTTCAAAATTTGCTTAGTTTACATCCAACCTATTTTCTGGTGGCGCAAAATTCGTTCCGCGCATTCGTCGTCTTCCCATCGCGGCCCGTGACTGCTGCGATCCGTCGGCTCTCAGTGACTGCTGCCCGAAGTGTCATCCTACATTTACCCCCCACCCACCCCCATGTGTCAATGCACCGCTGCGTCAAGGCCACACCGCGTCCGGATGTTGCTTCACCATATTTCATCAAGAGGAGGGGGGGGGGGGGCAGTGTGGGTTGGTTAACGGAGGGGGAAGGAGAGGGGGGGGGGGAGGTCGTGAGTGGTGAGCAGGATCGGTTCAGATAGAATTCGCCGCTGGGAAATGGAACTCAAAGTCCCCGTGTTCATAGAGCAGTGTGCTAACCACTGCGCCACCGCTCCAACCCAGCGAGAATCCGTGAAACAAAACGAAGCATCCCCTGCTTCTCTACGTATGCGTGAAGTCATTAACGGCTGTTTTACAGAAAAATATTAACCATAGGAATGTGGAATTTCCACCAATGGCTGAAGATCACGAAACAGAGATAAACGCAGCCCCCTTTGCTCGTTTGAGCAGTGAGACACGACTGACCAACTGGTGAGTGTCAGAAGAGCGGTGAGTGTCTAATGGGTGTGCGTCGGGCGAGTGGTGAGTGTGAATGTGTGGTGAGCGCGTGGTGGGTGTACGATGGGTGTGTCAGACGAGTGGTGAGTGTGTAAACGCGTGGTGAGTGTGGTGGGTGTGTCGGGTGAGTGGCGAGAGAGTGATAAGTACCAGATGGTTGGTTCGTGTCTGGCGAGTATGAGCATCGCATGAGCTGTGAGCATCAGATTAATGTTGAGCGTCTGGTTGGTAGTGAGTGCCTGGTGACTGCGAGTGCTGAATATCAGGTGTGAGATCAATGCGAGTGTTAGGTTAGCGGTGAGTGTCTGGTGGATGGTGAATGTAAATGGTGAGTATCTTAGTGAGTATTGAGTGTGGCCAGTATAGCAAGTTTGTCATTTGAGCTTTGAGTGTCAGGTGAGTGTTTACTGCCAGGTACGAGTGGTGTGGGCGATAGAAATGCCACTGGGGTGTCACGTCACCTCGCCAGTTGGACGGGCCGTCCTCTTTGTATCACTACATAGCTACTTCTGGGTTTCGCGCTTATTGGAGATCTCCAGTGCAGCATAGCACCCTGCAAGTCACTGCCCACCTGGGACTCAATACAGCCAGTAGGAGGAACCTTTAACTCACACGAGACAATGTTCTCAACGTGTAGCCTTAACCGACTACTGTTGGGACAAGTGCTGTCAATGTGAGGGCCGGCATGGCACACGAGGTGGTGCTGGGAGGTCAGCACCACGCCGGGCCGCCTTTGTCTTCCTCGCAGCGATGTTTTACACACCGCACCGGTTACGACCTCACGCACACACGCGCACACACGCACACACACACGCGCACATACGCGCACACACACGCGCGCACACACACACGCAAACGCACACACGCGCACACACGCACACACGGACACACACACGCACACACACACACACGCGCGCGCACACACACGCACACACACACGCACACACGGACACACACACGCACACACACACGCGCACACACACACGCGCGCACACACACACACGCACACACACACGCACACACACGCCTCCGCACATGCACACGGAACGCATTCTTAGGCTACTACAGTCCGCATTCCTTTACCCCCCCACCTTTCCTTCCATAACTTCGCCTCCTCCTCAACCTCCCCCTCCCCCCGGCCCCATGCCGGCAGCCACTAGGGGCGCTATGAGTGAGTGAGAGAGTGGGAGGGGGTAGAGAGAGACAGAGAGGAGAGCGCCCTGATCAACTCGCTCACATCATCATCGTCGTCGTCATCGTCATCCCGTGCGCGCGCATCATGCGTTCAGACTGTGCTCTTTCGGGACTTGAGGTGGGTCCGAGTGGGGTTGTCGTGGTTCGAGAAGGGGGTTCTTGTGGGTTGTTGGAGTTGTTGGGGTTTGTTGTTGGGAGGGGGGGGTGTAGGTGGTGTTGGTAAGGAGGTGACGGGGTAGGTTTCGGGGTTAGAGCCTCGCACGTTTCACTGCCGCTCCAGTTCAGCGCTGCATTCGCTTTAGTGTAAGTACCTTGCATAGCACGTGCACACTCACACGTGCACACTCACAGGTACACACACGTACACACACGTACACACTCACACGTGCACACTCACGTGCACACTCACACGTGCACATAATATATACGGTACCGTCAAGCACACGGCACTTGCGTGTGTGGTCACGGTGCGGTTGTTGCAGGGCTTAGGTTTTAATTCGGGGTCTGGGAAGCGTTCAAGGTACCAATGATCAGCATGGCCCATATTTACGTACCCGTCTGTGTGTGTGTATGTGTGTAAGTGTTTATGTGTGTGTGTGTATGTCTGTGTTTAAGTGTTTGTCGGTGCGTGCAAGTGTGTGTGTCTTTAAATCTCTGTATAAGTCTGTAAGTGTGTCCGTGTGTGTAAGTCTGCACTGAGCGTGAATGTTTGTTAATGTGTGTTGATGTGTGTGTAGGTTTTGTGTGTGTTTGTGTGTGTTCATCTGTGTGGAAGTCTTGTGTAAGCGTGTCTGTATGTAAGTCTTGTGTAAGTGCGTCTGTGTTTATCTGTGTGTAAGTCTTGTGTAAGTGTGTCTGTGTTTATCTGTGTTTAAGTCTTGTGTAAGCGTGTCTGTGTGTAAGTCTTGTGTGTCTGTGTTTATCTGTGTGTAAGTCTTGTATAAGCGTGTCTGTGTTTATCTGTGTGTAAGTCTTGTGTAAGCGTGTCTGTGTTCATCTGTGTGTAAGTCGGTGTGTGTCTGTAAGTGTATCTGTGTGTATGTATGTCCGTGTGCGAGTGTATGATGTCTTTGTTGTGATGGGGAGCGGTGGTGCAGCGATTAGCGCTACGCTGCGCTACGAACCCGGCGACCCGAGTCCGCTTCCTGCTCACGGCCAACACCGGTGACGATTCTCTGGACCGGTGCTGGACCTCCCCTAGGTCGACTCAGTCTCAAATGAGTACCTGGTGCAGTGTGTAAACATCAGCACTGGGGAAACAAAGGCAGCCGGGCGTGGTGGTGTTGGCCACCCACCAACCCGAGTGCCGTGCCGGCCTTCACAGGTGCTCGCTAACAGCACTTTCCCCAACAGTCTGCTAAGGCCACATCTTTGTCTTTACCTGTGTGTGTGTAAATGTAAATGTGCGTGTACTGAACGTAGAACACACGCTAACACACACGCGCGTCTGAGTCACACGTGCTCGCTAGAGATGATGGCACGATGATGACACAGGGCACCCGGTGTCGTGTGTAAGCATCAGCACTGGGGGGGGGGGGGGAGACAAAGGCGGCCGGGCGTGGTGTCACTTCGTTCCGTCGGTGCGTGTGAGTTCTACGTACCCCCCCACCCCACCCCCCCGAGCCAACTGAGCTCTGCGCTCGTGCGCGTGACAATGCCCGGCAGCAGTTTGACCACAACGCCCTCCCCGTCCTCAGCACGTGCCGGTACTGCGCTGCGGAGTTGGAACCGCACGGGTTTGCGACCGGGTTGTGAGCGAGGGAGAGGTGTCGAATGGCTTCGACGTTCGCGGGCAGCTCGCTGCGTGAGATCGGAGAGTGGACGAGGAGGCAAAGCGCTCCCTAGAGGTAAGAGAGTCTTTGTATTTATCGATACACGCACACCTGTAATGCACGCATGCTTACATGCGGTACAAAGACAAAGATCCCCCGTATAGCCTTAACAGACTGTTGGGGGAAAGTGCTGTTAGCGAGCGCCTACGAAGTCCGGTGCGGCACACGAGGGGGTCGCGTGGCCAGCATCACGCCTGACCGCCTTTGTCTCCCCAGTGGCGATGTTTACATACCGCACCAGGCACTCGTTTGAGGCTGAGTCGACCTACGGGGGAGGCCCAGGACCGGTTCAGATAATCGTGACTGGTGGTGGCCGTGAGCGGGAATCGAACTCAGGTCGCCATGGTTCGTACCACAGCGCTCCACCCTTCCCCATACATATCCCGACCTTATTACAGACCCATTCAGACCTTACTGGTCACCCCGTGCCCTTATAAATCTCAACGTTCATCAAACAAAGTCCCATCACAAGGGAGACGCACAAACAAATAGACAACACCATTGTTTTTTTACCCGTATTGAAAATTAACTTTCCCTTTACAAGAATACGGGGTAAACCGCGTGGGTTGACACAGTATGTATCCGGTATAGTACACACACATGTGCGATACACACACATATATACGCACACACACACGTGTAGTCCACACATCTAGTAATTACGGAGGGCACCGTGCTAACCAAGTTCCCGGCAACCCGAGTTCCATTCACGGCCACGTTGAACGTCAGTGGCGAGTGATATCCGATCTCAAACCTGGGTGTCACCCTTCCCCCTCCACCGCCTTCACCAATCTGCCCGGACCCAGCGCAGTTCAAGTATGGTTAATGCCATGGCTAAAAGCTTCATTCACCACAACAAACCCACACATGCCTAAGAGCTTTCACATGATTAATATTACGCGGGCATTCGGCACTTGCAATGTTTAAAATCCCGGTACACGTGTGCAGCCGCTTGGTAGTTGTCACACTTGTTTGACCATACTTCACCATGCTGGTCAGTACACATTAGTGAAGCGCAGTGAGGGAGGTGGGGGGAAATGGAGAAGCGCACGCGACCGATTCTGAAGTCACTCGCCCCTGATGTTAACCGTGGCCTGGAATGGAATCGAACTTGTGCTGTCCGGGTTCACAGGGCACTGCGCAAGTAGCCCACACAGTAAAGTACATATACTGTACGCATTCAATGTTGCTATACAATGCTTAAGCCTACGTGCATCAACAGTCAAAGTGACATTGAGTGTCCTTCAATGCAGCAGTGGATAGATTCTGGAAACGCACGCTGTTGTATTGACAGGCATATTGAGTGCTGTACATGGCGTCACGGTGGCGAGATGTTTATTGCCTCGCCTGGTATTCAGGAAGTCCGTGAGTTCGATCCCGACCCTGACCCCTCTATATTTGGAGTTTGCATGTTCTCCTCGTGGTCGCGTGGATTTTTCTCCGGTCCCTCCGAGTTCTCCTCACCCCCCCCCCCCCTCCGCATTTAGAAACATGCGTTTGTAGAGTATTCGGCTGATATTAATTTACACTTGATATAAGCCACTTCGTTAAGCTTGTCATTTGTGGTTTAGGTCGCTTCTGAAAAAGAGCCGCATAAGCTCAGTGGGCCTGACCCAGTAAAATAAAACCAATTGTAAACAAAAAATAGTAGTACGGGGGCCGTCCATAAATGACGTCACGCACCTGGGGGGGGGGTCAGATATTTGTGACGATGTGTGACGAGGGTGGGGGGGGGGGGTTTGAGAAATGTGACGTCACGTAAAAATGCGCAACTTTCAATAAATATAGACAACACGTTCTACTTAATTAAATAGACTTTCGATTTAAAGCTTTCGTGACTGCAATGATTCATCTTCTTTGGTTCTTTCGGTAAAGTCACGTAGAATGAGAATAAAATAATAAATTGATAAAATAAAATAACACAATAAAATTCTCACGACGTTTCGGCCACAACACAAGTGGCCTTCATCAGGTGAAGGGACGAGACTGTCTGGAGGACAGCGCTGGAGAGAACACAGCCAAGCTCAGACTGCGACCTTTAAGCTGTGTGAGAAGAAACAGAGCGCCTTGACAAAGGAATTAGCATAGAATTTAGCATTGAAATAGTTGAGTGATTAGCTTGTGACTAGTCACAGAAATGGCTATGTTAAAGCATACACATCCACAGAGGCACCTGATTTGTACTAGGTGCCTCTGTGGATGTGTAGGCTTTGACTCATTTATGGACGGCCCCTAACATCCTCACCAAGGAAATCTACAAGTTCAAATATCAAGTAGCAGCGTGTGGTGGCGGTTGAATAGAGGGGTCCACCACACACGCACTCGCAAAGGTTTGGGAACAGCGGCCGCCTCAAAGGCTCTCCTGCCTATCTCAAACCTACGTCTCTCCTGCCTATCTCAAACATACGTCTCTCCTGCCTATCTCAACCCTACGGCTCTCCTGCCTATCTCAAACCTACGGCTCTCCTGCCTATCTCAAACCTACGGCTGTCCTGCCTATCTCAAACCTACGACTCTCCTGCCTATCTCAAACCTACGGCTCTCCTGCCTATCTCAAACCTACGGTTCTCCTGCCTATCTCAACCCTACGGCTCTCCGGCCTATCTCAACCCTACGGCTCTCCTGCCTATCTCAAACCTACGGCTCTCCTGCCTATCTCAAACCTACGGCTCTCCTGCCTATCTCAACCCTACGGCTCTCCTGCCTATCTCAAACCTACGGCTCTCCTGCCTATCTCAAACCTACGGCTCTCCTGCCTATCTCAAACCTACGGCTCTCCTGCCTATCTCAAACCTACGGCTCTCCTGCCCGGCGAACGGCGGCCAACTTTTTTGGCCAAATTTATCTGCCTTCGAAAAATAAAAGCTCTCGGAATCCGAGAGCTGTTCTCGCCTCCCGGCTAACCGGAGCTCGACTGTGCCTGGCGGGGTCAAAACCACGGAGCCAAAATCCTCCTTCACGCGGTGGTTCGGGGCCAGAGGCAGCCAGACAGATGCCCCCCCCAACCCACCCCCCTTGTGCCAACTTGTGCTGTGCCGCCCGACGTGGCCAGGAATCGAACTTGGGTTGCCAAAAAATTGTGGGAAGACCGTGCCCCTCTCACTTACATGTCTGACTGCTGTGCGTACGTTCGCCAGCAACAGTGCTCTACACAGTACTGTACGCCGAACTTCTTTCGCGCCGTACGTGGCCAACCGTGCTAATTGGAAGTGCGGGGACAAGACAACGAGCTAAACACAAAAAAGCAGTTCAGTAAAAAAAAATGTGTTTTAAGTCGAGATTTAAAAGTGGATAGCTCCAGTGGCTTCCCAAGAACAAGAGGGAAGGGGGGGAAAATAAATAAATATATAACACATCACAGGTTGCGGCCAATTTGTCTAACGACTCCTCACGCACCCCCAATCGCCTGTGTTGAGTTGACCTAGGAGGGCAGGGGGGGTCCAACGGCAAGGGGGGGTCCAAGGGCAAGACCTTTAGGGCAATTGCCCATTGGCGCTTCTTCGCACCCACACACGACCGCCTTTGTTCTCCCGGGCCACGAGTTACGAATTTAAGGCTGAGTCGACCTAGGGGGAGACCAAGGCCAGATACTCAGGCGGCGTTTTTGGGAAATGGCCCTTCTCTGCAATGGAGAAGGGTCATTGCCCGAAACGTCACGTGTTATACATGTATCTATCTCTCTCTCTCTGGCAGTGCTATTGACGAATGTGTTCAGTTTTCTGTGTTGTTAGTGCACCCCTGTTAACGCCGTCTCATGAACAAACACATAAAACTACTGTCGCGCTGCCCCTCGCCCACAGCTGACAATCGCTCACTCTCAGACGGAACGGAATGTAGAAGTCTAGGGCCAGGCGCTGTTTGCGTATTAGCGAGTACCTATTAGGGTGGGCAACGTCTGAATACTGCAGCCCTCCCACCGCATTTATTTTTTACCCAGGGCGCCAGTTACTCAGGTTCACATTCAGAGACCAAGGATCCCGCGTGCAGCCTAAATATACTGTTGTGGCAGGTGACGTGAGCCCCATGCCTGGCCGCCTTTGTCTCCCCCATCAGTACTGTACTGATGTTTACACAACGTAACTAGGTGCACATTGAAGGCGAAGTCGACTTCAAGGCCAAATATTCCCCGTATTGCCTTAAGCTGTTGGGGCAAGTGCTTGTTATTAAGGGCCGGCATTGGCGCGCGAGTGGTTGGCGTGGACGGAGCCACGCCTGGCCACCTTTGCCTCCCCAAGCTCTGATGTTTTACGCACCGCACACTCGGTGCTCATTCAAGGCTTAGCCGCCCTGGGTTGGCCATTCACGCGCACGCAAACACGTGGTTTTACGCCTTCTTTTTGGGTGTGAACACGGGCTATTTTAAGGCGGAGGTCATCAACAGATTCGGCTGTCGCTTTTGGGCAATTAATAGGGTTTAGGCGATACTCTAGGATTAAAATTAGACTCCCTGGAACATCAGGCACAGTGTTCTCAGTGTTCAAGATCCCAGACAATCAAGTTGCATTAACAAGGTGAAGAGGGACACCCTCCCCCCCCCCCCCCCCCCCCCGGACGCCGAGTGGGTCGTGGGGGTGTATTGGCCATACTTCACCACACCTGGTCAGTGCAGGTTGGTGAAGGTGGGGTGTGTAGGCGTGGGAAGATAATTGGAAGTATATTACAACACTTATGCTGCGCATGGATTGCATATGATGATAATGACGATAATTGTTGAAGTCTATTGAAGTCAATTCAAAATTAGTTCCGTGAAATTATCTTCCGGGGACCCCTTCTCAGACACAAGGTGGTGCACAGCTTTCTGGAAGGGTTCTCAATGGGAAATGTCTTCAATTTAAGAACATTGTTGCTAATAGCGTCATTTTAACAGACTCCTACCCGGAAGGCAAAACAAATCTTAAGATTATTTTGAAAGAGGGCCCTGCTTTTGAATGTTTCGGCAAATTGTTGTTCCGCCGAACGCATTTCGTGTTTGGCAAGAAAATCATTGTTGCCCGGAGATAGCCCACAAACACCAG